TTAGTCCACCCGAACGAGGATGGACTGGGTCCGAAGAAAGGTAAGTGCGCCACTCACCCGTTCCCCAGCCTCTCGATCCCGGAGACAGTCAGACGCAGTGGGGAGTCAAGTCAAGCAAGCAAGAACTCGGTTTATTGCACGTGTAGCAAAGCCTTTTAAAGCACAAGACCGCAGGATTACTGGGGCAGGGCATAAGGACCAACCAATTACTTATAAGGTCAATTTACGGGGTGACTTTTTACAGGACCAGCCATATGTCTGTACACTCATCATCAGTTGTCACCTCCCCTGATGCTGTGCAGCCAATCAGCTTTGGTGGTAAACGACTTTGGACACTGCCCACCTTACTTCCTTTGGGTGCCATCTTTGAATTGTCACGTGTGCCTAATTTCCCTGCAGGCACCATCTTTGAATGGTCTCCTGTGCCTAATTTCCCCACATAGTTGAATCTATATAAACAATCTGCAACATTTGTTTCGAACCTGAGGCTCTGCAAATTGGTCTGGAGTTCCAAGGACAATCTTAACAAGTCAGCAAGGCTTACCTATATTCTTCTTTAGGTTCAGGGTTAAAACAACAAACTTTCTTGCTTGTAAACTCTTATCTGGAGGGGGAAGAAGTATTTCAAATGACTGATTATCTGCAGCCTGTCTATACCTGCTGCTTGAGTCCTAATTTTGAGTCACAGAGGCTGAGATGGAGCCTGCTGTCAGCTTGGAGTACGCTGAACTTCCTTACCTGCCTGGGAAGTTATCAAAAGCCCCAGATCTGCAGGCTTAAGTTTGACACTGGGTAAGTTTGAGTACACAGCTTCATTCTCACTTGCAGATGGAATATTTACCTCATGATAGACTGACAGCTGACCTACAACTGCTTCAGCAGCAAGGAGATGCTGAGCTGGAGCCCCTGCTGGGCTGGAGAAGGCTCTTTCCCTCCTAGGTGCCTGTAGAGACTGACCTGGTCTCCTGGGTTAAGGAAGGTTTAATCTCAAAGGGCTGTGGAGGCTGACCTTGGGCTTCTTGCTATGTTGAAGAAGATAAGACTTCACTTGTCTAGAATAAATCTTCTCTTCGTGAGTCCCACAGGATAATACTCAAAGGGAACCTTTCTATACTTGTGAGCTTGTCAAAGTTCTAAAATAACTTGAAACAATCCTCCAAAAAGACCTCACAAGACAACTAGTTATAGTTGTGTACTTGAGACTCACTATAATCCTTTGTCTCTTAAGCTCCTACTCTATAAAAAAAGAGATTGAGAGTAGGGGTCCGCAGCCTTGCTCTGGCCCGGGCTGGCTTCTCAGCCTTTCTGCCTTGCTGAGTGTGGCAGCACGAGGGGCCTTGGCCACCACGCACTGGGTCGTCACAGAGGACGGGAAGATCCAGCAGCAGGTAGATTCACCAATGGACTTGAAGCATCCCCATGACTTAGTCATAGTAATGAGATAAGAAACAACAGTAAACTACCTCAAAGAATTGGAGAAACAATTAGTTGCTCAAAAAATTCACATAGAAGAAAATGAGGACAGAGACATGGGACTGGAACAGAGACATAACAAAGAAGATCCAGACTGCATCAAAGCCAAGGTGCCCCTCAGGGACCTGGATCTGTACGATGGCACATACATAACATTAGAGAGCAAAGACATCAGCCCTGAAGATTGTATAGACACAGAATCTCCTGTCCCTCCAGACCCTGAGCAACCTGATTGTACTAAAATTCTCGAACTTCCTTATAGTATGCATGCTTTTCAACACTTATGGGGTGTGCAAGAAAGAGTTAATCTTTCTGCACCTCTGAAGCCTAAGGACGATCCTGTCTTCACATATTTAAGCGATTGGGAAGGAATATAGATGACATTGGTCACCTCATTCATGAAGGTTTACAGAATTATTCTTCCTCTTGGGTACTGTATAATATGGCTTCATTTTACTGGCGAATAAAGAATGAGCCCTATCAGGTAGTGGAATGCGCCATGCGAGCACTTCACTTCTCTTCCAGGCACAATAAAGACATAGCCCTGGTCAACTTGGCGAACGTTCTGCACAGAGCACACTTCTCTGTTGACACTGCTGTCGTGGTCCACGCAGCTCTGGATGACAGTGACTTCTTCACCAGCTATTACACTTTGGGGAATATATATGCAGTAAATACTACTTTTTGTTTCATGAGTTGTACCAGTTGCTACTTTCTTTCTTTTCATTTTTTCCTTAGTAGAATGTTACTTTTTTTTTTTTTTTTTGACAGGCATAGTGGACAGTGAGAGAGAGAGAAACAGAGAGAAAGGTCTTCCTTTGCCGTTGGTTCACCCCACAGTGGCCGCCGCGGCCAGCACGCTGCAGCCGGTGCATCGCGCTGATCCTAAGCCAGGAGCCAGGTGCTTCTCCTGGTCTCCCATGTGGGTGCAGGGCCCAAGCACTTGGGCCATCCTCCACTGCACTCCTGGGCCATAGCAGAGAGCTGGCCTGGAAGAGGGGCAACCGGGACAGAATCCGGCACCCTGACCGGGACTAGAACCCGGTGTGCCAGCGCCACAGGTGGAGGATTAGCCTATTGAGCCACGGCGCTGGCCTAGAATGTTACCTTTTTTAATGAAGAAATTAGGGGGAAGAAATCTCAGCACAATAATATATCATAGTTGTTCTAGCCTCTTGACAACAAAGGCAAATAATTAAATTGATTGGGATTTTAACCTGTATAGGATACATCCCTTAAGGATAGCAAACCCTTCTAACTATAATCATCCTATGCTATGCCTTCATCCTGTGGGGATTTGGCTAATCCAAATAATGTTACTGTGAGATACAGGTGTGAATTCATAAATCACTAGGGGCTTTGGAGCTGGGCAACTGGGCCATGGCTAATGTTTCTTCCCCTGTGTGTGTGTGCATATGTGTGTGTTTTTGTCTCTTCAGATGCTTGTGCTCTGTTATGACCATGTTTTGCAGGCCAAACCTGGGTTTGAGCAGGCTATAAAGAGAAAGCATGCTGTCCTGTGTCAGCAAAAATTGGAACAGAAATTGGAGGCTCAACATAGGTACCTGGTAGAAAAAAATTTCTCTGAAGTACTGGCACCCTAAAACCTTAGGTTAGATCTGTGGAGGGTGGTATCAATCTTAATTACATCATTAGAATTAAGAAAGAAACCTCTTCACTTGGGTGAGTCCTGTCCCCTTTCTGCAAATTCAGGTGGTTTAGCACAATGCAGTGGTTGTGTAGAGAAGTCTCTAATGGCAGGGATGCCACAGTCTAGAGGATTTTTGTGATAAAAGCTGTCTGTAACATCTTCATAGTTTTGACCTTTGATGATTTCTGTGAAACTGGATGGGGTTGGAAGGCTGAGAGATACTTACTCTGTTATTTTCATTTTTATTTCCATAGTAAAAATCACATGTATAGTTGCTGTTCTTCCCATTTGGTTCCTATGATTGGGCTGCTGTTATATTAGTCACATGACTCTGATAAATTTCGCCAACATTTTAATCAGATTTGTGTGTTAAATTGGACAATAATAGAATTTTGTTGTACTTGGTCTTTGCAATATACTTAATAAAATATCTGATCCCATAAGTTTTAGGGCCAGTTAAGGAACTCCACATAACTCTGAAGTGAATTGCTCATATCTCCAAATAGAGTCCGCTTTAGTTATTAGAGAATTAAATGTAGACGTAGACTCATTAAACTTTAGTATTTGCCTATTTTTCAACCTATTAAAGCATAATATAGAAAAAAAGAAAAAAAAGAGATTTATTTATTTGAGAGGCAGAGTTATAGACAGAGAAGGAAAGACAGAGAGTAAGGTCTTCTATCTGCTGGTTCACTCCCTAAATGGTTGCAGTGGCAATGCTGGGCCAATCTGAACCTAGGAGCCAGTAGCTTCTTCCAGGTCTCCCACATGCATGCAGCGGCCCAAGGAGTTGGGCCATTTTGCTCTGACTTCCAGGCACATTAACAGGGAGCTGGATCAGAAGGAGCATCTGGGACATAAACAGGTGCCCATATGGCATGCCAGCACTGCAGGTGGAGGCTTAACCTACTATATACCACAGTGCCAGCCCTGTCTCCTACTCTTTTATAGATTTTCAGAACCTCCTCTTGGAAAATACCTTTTCTCCCCTCTTGGGCAAAACCTTCTGTTCCCGATCACTTTAAGAACCAATCCTCTTTCTCACATGAATCTGCTTCCTATTTCTTAAATTAACATCCTATCATTAATTGATAAGATTTGTCTTTGTCTTGGTATAACTTTATTGCTTATAGTTGAAAAATCTTTTTGCCAGGCTCCAAATGGTGACCCTGCCTTGGAAAATCATTCACTTTACACCTTTGCCCAGACTTGTAGTCTCAGGCCAAAATCTGCAGGTTATGTCATCACCAGTTTCCTGCAATACAGTCAGCTCCAACTCTAGCTTCTATTAGTAAAGATCCAGGCACCTTAATTGTGCATGACAGTTCCTGCTAGAATTCTAGCAACCCCCTGCAAAAGCCCTTACACACTAGTTTGTTTGCCAAAATACTCTTCCCATTGCATTGATTTCGTTCCTCCCTATAATTGCCCAAGTGACATCCGAAGTTTCATGTTTTATTGTCTTAACATGGCCTTCTATTGTCCATGTCACAATGAGCAAATGGGAGAGCCCAGATGTGCCAAATGCACCCTGTCACTTATAAGAGGTCATTGACTTCCTGCATCCGCACAGGTGGGTGGATGTGGAGGAAAACCCAGAAACATTACATTGGTATACAGGGTCTTATGGAGATTACAATGCCTTAATCTGCAGGCCCTGGACAAGATAGGTTGATAAAATCTGATGGTTATTCCACCCAGAACCTTTAGCAAGCTTTCACCAAGAGTTGGTCAGGTGCAGCTGCCCCTTTTTGGTGGCAGAGGATCTCAACACTGTGATTGATGTCACCTTTAGTGCTCATTACATGACCAATATCCAATAGTGGTTTCATGTATCCCTCCTCTGGCAGGCCTGCATGCCAGATGAGTATCTGTTCATCTGTGGTCATCCCAAAAAAAAAAAACCCACAAAACTTTGTCTCTTCAGAGACAAACCCTGGGGGGTGATACATTCAGGTCCCTTCCTTAGGCTCAATCCACAAGTGCAGTTCACTGAACAAAGTGCATTAGGCCAGGTCCCTACATCCCAACTTTGGATCTCTGTATATAATATTTCAAAAATTTTAAAATTAAAAAGAACAAAAATGGCAACTGGGCTTATACTAGCAGGAATAAGGGCCAGGATGGAACTTTTTACACCCTGGGGAGGTTTCACCTATCACAAGGTAACCACATGCAACCTGACATCAACCTTTGAGTTTTTTATGTTAACCACTGCAGACACTCTACAGGACCTCCCAAACCAACATAATTCTCTTGTAGGAATAGTCTTCAATCACCCTCTGGCACTAGATTATCTCCTGACTGAACAGGAGGCATCTGTGCTGTAATTAATCAGATTTGCTGCACATGCATTAACAAGTCAGCGGAGATAAAAACTAGCATCTGCAAAATCTATGAACAAATAGAGTGGCTGCATTGGCACAACCAACAACGACCAAAGGCCAACACAATTTGGGCAGCCTCAAGGGCAGCTCCTCCTTCTCATCAACTTCTTACCCCGTGATAGTCACTGCACTGAGGGGAGCCCAGGCAGTCCAGGTTCTGACTTCCAATGCATAGACATATAGTAAGATTTGGAGAGAAATAAGATTTATTAGCAAAGCAAAAGTACACACTCCAGAGTGAGCTGTAACCCATAAGGTTACAGGTTATCTATTTATGTGCCCTGGAGTCACAGGAGATGGTACTTTGGGCCAAGTTTTCCAGGAAAGGGCAGGGATTTACAGGAATTTGGTGACTGGCCAATTTCTGGCCTTTTCAGAAAGTCTCAGAAGTGCCATGGCATCAGGCTCATGATGGGAGTAGAAGTGTCAGCCATGGAAATCCTAAAATGACATATAGTAGGTTATAGGTCCCATGGAGATTCAGTCAGCCCTCCCTCACCATGTTGTATATTTTTATGTGGCACCAAAGTGTGATTTTGGCACTGGCTATGGTAGGAGTTTCAAAGGCAGCCCTCAGGGAGGGTGTGGTAACACATTTCCTCTGGCTATTTTTTTTTCTAATCCCTACCTCCTTATTTGTAACAACTGTATTATTGCTAATATCTGGACCTTGCTTGTCCAACCTGGTTAAGTTTGTTTCTGCCAGGTTTTAACAGTTTAATGAGAGCCATGTGAGGATTTCAGCCAATGCCTATTGCTGAAGGACATGCTGCTGAGGCCCTTAGATGGAGATAAATAAAAGCCATGAGAGGCTTTTATTACTCTCAGGATTGGCAAGGCCAATGCCTTTGGTCATTAGGAAGCATCCACAGAAGATGAGATCTTCATCCAAATTCCTTTGGGAATAAGGAGGACTAAATCTCTGGAGAAACTGAGATAGTATGTGGCAAGCCCCAGCTCTATCCACCAAGAAGTGGGCTGAAAAACAAGATACAAGGCAAAAGAACTGGTTTGAATCAGCTGAATCCAAGACCGCACCTAACTTAACTCCAAGGAGACCAGGAATGGTTATACCCTCATTATAATGTGTTAACACAATAACAGTCCCACCTGGAGTGACAGTTATTAATGCTGCAACAAACTGCAGAAGTGACCAGGTAAGAAGAAGAAAAAAGAAGGGGATCCCTAATTCCTGGAAATTGCCGCCCATTTCCCAGAACTAAGGTTAAGTATTTCAACCAGATATTAACCTACATTTTCTGGACCCCATAAGTGTGGGAACCCCAGCTTCACACGGGATTGCTCTGTGGAGTAGTCTGCTCTTTGCTTTCTGTAATAAAACTGTTTCTTTCAGTTTGTTGGTTAATGGTTAATTTCCCTCTCTCAAGGAAACCAAGGACACCTGAGGCCTCCGGGTCTCGTGGAGAGAGGGGGAGAGTACAAGGATGTGTTTCCCAAGAGAAGAATCATCACTTGAGAGAAGTTTCCAGGATAAACATTTTATAAAAATGTTTTTTAGCATTGATTTCCCTTAACCAAATTGCTTGTCTTCCCAACACCCATGTGTCAGAATCTCCAGCTTACCTGAGTAAAAACTGAGTAAATGGTAACAAGGATGCCACCACCTATAAGTTCTCCCAGAACCTTCCCTTCCCACTGGGACCCTTAGATAGGGCGAAGGAAAGATTTTATTCTCTCAAATGAAGATTCTCATCCTTTTTGGGAGAGAGACACTCCTGTATGTCCCTCTCCTGGATCCCCCAGTGCCTCAGGAGGGTCCTTGGCTTCCTTGAGAGATGGAAGTCAATTGTGAGCTAGCAAACTGAAAGCACTCATACTGATTTCTCCCACAATGCTGGCTCCTTTGCCATTTTGCAGGTGGGCAGATTGGGTGGCGTGGGTGTGGGGCCTGCTGGAAGCTAGACCTCAAGGGCAGAACCTGGAAGACAGTGCTGAGAAATCCTGCTACCCACCATTCCCCTTCTAGCAGCCTCTCCTCCCTCTGCACAACAATGGAAGGAAAGAGGAAGTGGGAAAAAATAAGGTCATTTGAGTTAGAAGGGGTAATTACTGGGACCCAGGAGCAGGGGGAAACAGCTCTAAGAAAGGAGGGTCAAAGGAAGTGCACAAGGCTGAAGAGTTGAGAAATTAGTAACAAATATTTGCATGTGAGGGGAAACAAAAAAGTAAAAATGCCTGTGCTCAATTGGACAAACACTTAGGAAACCTGAGGTTGGCAGCAGACACTGTGCTAGGGCAGGGTCAGGAAGAGGAGGAGAGAAAGCCACAAGTTAGTCTGGGATCCTGCAGCACAACCTATGGCCTCATACTGAGCACTGGTACAGCAGGGAGAGATGAAGCAGTCTCAGCCCACCCAAGTTTCGAATAACAGTCCCTGGGAGGGCACTCACTCAGCAAACACCTCTCTTGTGAGGTGGCTTCTTGACATTTCCAGTGTCCCAGCCCAACCCAGAAAACTGAAGAAATGCTGGCCTCTGTAGGAAGAATTCATTTACATGGTGACTGAGTGAGCTGCTGCTTTAAATCCCCTTCCCTTCTTCCCAGGAGGCTTCAGCCAGGTCCGCCACCCTTGGTTCACTGGCTAAACCAGTGCTGGCACAGAGCCCCGGCCACAAGGCTGTGTCAGACTGAGAGTATGAAGGTCAAATCTTACTAAAGGAGGCAGGGAAGGAGGGTTGACTAATAGGCTGTTAGGTTGGGTCCCAGTATGAATGAGGACAGGGGAAGTCTCTTTAAGACGGTACAAAATGCATCCTCTCCAGAAGCTGCCTGTAACAAGATAAAAGTGCCAATCCTACTCTGACTTTCCAGTTTTATCATAATAGAAAGAAGTTACCTATCCTACCCTTCTGATGGCTTTTTTGTTTTATCATGAGCAAGCTAGACAGGACTACAATTCTGGCCTTTTGATGGGTTTTATCCCCAATCTCCAATTGATTGTTAGCTGCTGTTTTGTCTTTTTCCCTGAATTGTGCTTAAAAGACTCCACAGACACAGTTTCTCGGGTCTTCCTCTCTTGGAGCCCTCCCTTCATGACTGCTGTGGCAGGAGGTTTCTCAAAAAAATCTTGTTTGCTCACTGCCTTGTCTGTGGGGAAATTCCACATGAGACAAGAAGCAAGGCCACTTTCCTTCATCACCATTTTACCCCTAACATTTGGAAACTCAAGAACATTCTTGGTTATGGGCATGCTTGTAAATATAAAATGTGCCCTGGTGTCTCATGGGAGATATGTAGAGTAGGGATCTGGTCACGCTGGGTCTGGTTCCTTTGAGGAAAATATGTTCTATCATCTTAAGCTGATATACATGGCTCCTAAAAGCCTGGTAGGATTGGATTGCATCACTAAACCTAATTCTGCCTGGAAATGTGGAAAATGCCCAAGAACAGGTATTGGCTATTGGACAAACTGTTAATTCATACTGGCTGAACAGCTTTTTAAATTTTTTTTTTAAATTTATTTGAGACAGAGAGAAAGCTAGTATTCCCAACCCCTAATTCACCCCCCAAATGCCCTCAACAGCTGGGACTGGGCCAGGCCAAAGACAGAAGCCTAAAATTCAATCCAGGTCTCCCACATGAGTGGCAAGAATCCAACTATTTGAGCCATCACCCCTGTCTCCCATGGTCTGCATTAGCAGAAAGCTGAAATTGGGAGCTGCAGTTAGGACTCAAAATTCAGGCCTTTAGATATGGGATGAGGGCATCCCAAACAGTTTATTAACCACTAGACCAAATGCTTGTCCCTGAAGCAGTCATTTTTATAGCAGGTTACAGAGAGAATTCTATCCTGGAGAAGAAGTTTGTGCTACGTTGATGTTGGTTATATGGTTTTGCATTTGCTTCTAAATTGTGTTTATATATGTTTTATCTATATAATTTAGCCATTTTTGTGGGTATAATAGCATTAATTATATTCACAATGTTGGACAACCATCAGCACTATGTATTTTCAAAGTTTCATCAACCCAAAGAGAAACTCTGTATTCATTTGTGTGCTTATTTTCTTTGTTGTTTAAGTAACTTCTCTTTAGAATGTACTTGTCTCTCTGCTGGTAGGTAGGGTCTTGTCAAGTCATGCCTACTCAAGAGGTCTCTTTGCCTCAGTTTCTTTCATCACAGGGTTGCTGTAAATTATTTTTTTGCCTAAATAGCAGGGCTACTTTCCTTCTATATATGCACAGTTATTTTAACAAAGTGAAAATTATAGCAAACTACTTCAAAACTTAGTGCTTAAAATTGTAACACTTTTACTTGTTCACCTTCATGTGTGTCATCAATTTGTGCTTTGGCACTTCTTTTGCTATTATCAGTTAGGGTCTTTCACACCACTACAAACTTCTGGTGGTTCAGCTGAAGCTCAGTAGTATAATGAGGCCTCATTCATGTATCTGGTAGCTAGTCCTGGGTGTTGTGCCTCTAGCATCTTACTTGGGCATCTGAGTACCAATAGCATTAAGGGAAAGAGATCAAGAACCACCATGCGGGGCTGGCACTGTGGCATAGCAGGTTAATGCCCTGGCCTGAAGCATCCCATATGGGCTCCAGTTCTAGTCCTGGCTGCTCTTCTTCCGATCCAGCTCTCTGCTATGGCCTGGGAAAGCCTATAAGATGGCCCAAGTCTTTGGGCCCCTGCACCCATGTGGGAGACCCAGAAGAAGCTCCTGGCTTTGGATCGGTGCAGCTCCGGCCATTGCAGCTGACTGGGGAGTGAACCATCAGATGCAAGACCTCTCTCTCTCTCTCTCTCTCTCTCTCTCTCTCTGCCTCTCCCCTCTCTGTATAACTCTGACTTTCAAATAAATAAATAAATATTTTTTAAAAAAAGAACCACCATGCAAACACTTTTCAGGTCACTACCTGCAATCATTTTTGCTAATGTTCCACTGTCCAATGAAAGACACTTGGCCAAGCCCAGAGCCAATGTGGGAGGGGACTTCGCAGAGTCCAGAAACAGGCATATGTGGTTCATCAAAGCCATTACTGTACCAGTCTACCAAATCTATGTATTCTTTTACATTTTACTTTTTCCCTTAAAGGTATATCTTTTCCAAGTTGATGTAGTTATAATGACATTTGTAATGCCTACACAATAGTCAATCAATAGACTATGCCAAAAAGTACTTTATCATTCTATTTTTATTTTTAGTTTCCACTATTATGAATACTGTATAAGTTACATTTTTGAGTACCTATGTGTAAGAAGTTATTCTTTAAATTTTTAGAGGATTTATTTATGTGAAAGAGTTTCAGATGGAGGGGGAAGCTAGATTGGAAATGGAGCGGTCAAGACATGAACCAGTGCTGGTATGGGATGCCAGCATTGCAGACACCTTACCTGCTTTGCCACAATGTCAGTCCCTATTCTTTAATTCTTTAATTACTTCTTTATGTCCTATTAGAAGTAAAATTACTAGGACACAGGGTAGGAAAACTGTCAAAGCCTTTAAGATGCATTGTTTAGGGGCTGGCACTGTGGCATAACAGGTAAAACCACCACCTGCATTCCACATCAGCATCCCATATGGGCACCAGTTCCAGTCCTGACTGATCCATTTCTGATCCAGCTTCCAGCTAATGCACCTGAAAAAGCAGCAGCGGATGGCCCAAGTACTTGGTCCCCTACGCCCACGTGGGGGACCTGGAAAAAGCTCCTGGCTCCTGGCTTCAGTTGGCCCAGCTTTGGCCATTGTGGTCATGTGGGGAGTGAAACAGCAGATGCAAGATTTCTTTCTGTGACTCTCTCTCTGTAACTCTGCCTCTTAAATAAATCTTTAAAAATAATGATGTATTGTCCAACGCTTTCCTACGGGTTTCACAATTTATCAGTAGCAGGAGTTCATCAGCCTTGCTGCTTTGACCATGGTGATATTTGACAGTCTCATTAAAAAAGAAATGTCTGTCAATTTAATAGGTGAGCCTGGATGCTTTTTGTCAATATAGCTTTTTACAGTCATGTAACACATCTTAATCACTTAAGTTTTTTCAATTTTTTAGCTTCTGAGCTGTAATTGCTATTTTCTGTTGCCGTGTTCGTGCACAAGCAGGTGCATGCACATATGCATTTGTGTGCATATGTGTAGCTGATAATGGTCATAGAAAGACATGACATTTTAGGCCATTTTCATTAAATTGGTTTAAGGTGAACACAGTGCATGTGAGAGTGAGTGCAAGGGTGAGAACAAGAGAGATTGTATCAAAAAAATCTGGGTATGAACGGCAAAAGAAGACCTTTCTCTCTGTCTCTCTCTCTCTCACTGTCCACTCTGCCTGTCAAAAATAAATAAATAAATAAATATTTAAAAAAAATCTGGGTATGATCACACTTCGAAATAAACAAATTTCCTTATGTGAAAAAACTTCGTTAAAATATCTGGAATCCTAAAGGGTCAAATACAGAGGAAACCAAGTATCTTTAGTTAGGAGGCTTAGGTGAGTACTCCTTTCAGTAGCAGCTGTATCTTGGTCCCTTGGGAGGGATAAATTCTTTGGCAGGGACCAATCTGGGCAGGTGTTCTGACCCTATGCTGTGTGTTCTGCTTGGCTGGGCACACCCTGAGCACTGGGAAATGTAGTTAAGTCTTAATAGGAAGCACCCTAGTCTTGGGCTTGTGTCCATTTCTACTTTTTTTTTTTTTAATTTTATTTTTTGGGACTGGCACTGAAGCATAGTAGGTTAAGCCACTGCCTGCAGTGCTGGCATCCCATATGAGTGCTGGTTTAAGTCCCGGCTGCTCCACTTCCCATCCAGCTCCCTGCTAATGTGTGTGGGAAAGCAGCAGAAAATGGCCCAAGTGCTTGTGCCCCTGCACCTACATGGGAGACCCAGATGAACCTTCTGGCTCCTGGCTTTGGTCTGGCCCAGCCCTGACCATTGTGGTCATTTGGGGAGCGGACCAACAGATGGAAGACTTTTCTTTTTTCTTTTCTTTTTTTTTTTTTTTTTGACAGGCAGAGTGGAGAGTGAGAGAGAGAGACAGAGAGAAAGGTCTTCCTTTGCCATTGGTTCACCCTCCAATGGCCGCCACGGCTGGCACGCTGCGGCCGGCGCACCGCACTGATCCGATGGCAGGAGCCAGGAGCCAGGTGCTTTTCCTGGTCTCCCATGGGGTGCAGGGCCCAAGCACCTGGGCCATCCTCCACTGCACTCCCTGGCCACAGCAGAGAGCTGGCCTGGAAGAGGGGCAACCGGGACAGAATCCGGCGCCCCGACCGGGACTAGAACCCGGTGTGCCGGCGCCGCTAGGTGGAGGATTAGCCTAGTGAGCCACGGCGCCGGCCGATGGAAGACTTTTCTGCCTCTGCCTCTATCTCTCTGTAACTTTGCCTTTCAAATAAATAAATCTTTAAAATTGTTTTGAAAAGCAGAGAGACATAGACACAGATACCTCTTTCATCTGCTATTTCACTCCCCAAATTCACAGAACTCCTGGGGCTGGGCCTGGTCAAAGCCAGGAGCCTGGAACTCAATCTAGGTTTCCTACATGGGTAACAAGAACTGCAATACTTGAGCTATCACCTGCTGCCTCCCAGGAGCATTAACAGAGAGCTGGGTCAGAAGTGGGGTAGCCTGGACTTGAACCAACACCCAAATGGGATGCCGGCGCTGCAGGCGGTGGCTTAACCCACTACACCACAGTGCCAGTACCTGCTCTACTTCCAATCCAGCTTCCATTTCCAAGTGCTTGGACCCCTGCTACCCACGTAGGATATTCAGATGAAGTTCCTGGCTCCGGGCTCCTGGCTTCAGCCTGGCCCAGCACTGGCTATTGTGGCCATTTGAGGAATGAACCAATAGATGGAAGATCTTTCCCCCTTTCTGTAATTCTGCCTTTCAAATAAATCTTTTTAAAAAAATTCCTGTTCCTTGTCTTCCTGGTTTTGGGTGTTGGGCAATAATCCTTAGTGTTTTTTGACTTTTTGCTCTATTTCTCCATTCTCTGCCTCCACCTTTGATTTCTCTCTGTGTCTATCAAGGATTGAATTGTGTCTCTCCCCCACAATCATATTTAGATACTGAAGTCCTAACCCCCAGTACCTCATGATGTGACCTTAATTGAGGGTAAGGTCTTTTTTTTTTCTAAATACGTTTTTCTTTTTTTCTTTTTATTTTTTTTATTATTTTTTGACAGGCAGAGTGGACAGTGAGAGAGAGAGAGACAGAGAGAAAGGTCTTCCTTTGCCGTTAGTTCGCCCTCCAATGGCCGGCGCGGCTGGCGCACTGCGCTGATCCGAAGGCAGGAGCCAGGTGCTTCTCCTGGTCTCCCATGGGGTGCAGGGCCCAAGCACTTGGGCCATCCTCCACTGCACTCCCTGGCCACAGCAGAGAGCTGGCCTGGAAGAGGGGCAACCGGGACAGAATCCGGCGCCCCGACTGGGACTAGAACCCGGTGTGCCGGCGCCGCAAGGCGGAGGATTAGCCTACTGAGCTGTGGTGATGGCGAGGGTAAGGTCTTGACAGAGATAAGTTAAAATGAGGTCATTAGGGCGACCCTAGTCCTTGTGACTGATATCCTTATAAAAAGGGGAAATTTGGACACACACTTGAAGAATGCTCTGTGAAGATGAAGGCAGAGATTAGGTTGATGCTTCTATAAGCCAGGGAGTGCCAGGATCACAAACCTCCAGAAGCAAGGGACAAGACACAGAACAATTCTCACAGTGCACAGAAGGAACGACCTTTGTCAATTTCTTCATTTTGGACTTCTAGTTGTCGCTCCCCCTCTTCGTGGAGGAGCAACACAGGACCCTGCGCTGTTCTTTCGTCTGCTCGGCCCTCCCCGGGTTTGCTGCTGGTTCTTCCCGGGTTGGCTACTATCCCTTCCACCTCCGTGGAAGGGCAGTTCCCCCTGGCCGCATTCCCCAGTTCCGCAGGGGAGCGGCACACCGCCGGCCGGCTCTTCTCGGGGGCTGCACAGGTGTTCCTTTAGATGTTCCCCATAGATGTTCCTGGTGCATGCCGTCTCTCTCCTCCTTTATAGTCCTCCTCCGCCAATCCTAACTCGGCTGCCCACACGCCAAGTACGCTGCTCTCCAATCAGGAGCAAGTCCTACAGTTTATTGGTTGAACTGGAGGCAGCTGGGTAGAAGCTGTTTTCTCCTCTCCCAGCGCCATATTGTAGGAGAGCAGATGCATAGAATAAGTCTTAATTCCAGTAACTTAGTCTAGTCCGAGCTGCTCCCCACAGAGGAGAGCAGATGCATAGAATAAGTCTTAATTCCAGTAACTTAGTCTAGTCCGAGCTGCTCCCCACAGAGGAGAGCAGATGCATAGAATAAGTCTTAATTCCAGTAACTTAGTCTAGTCCGAGCTGCTCCCCACAGATCCCCCTTTCTTTTTATTTTTTTGGCGTTGATACGCGCCTGTCTTTGGTGTCCCGCAGCACACACTCTGCTCTACTTGCTAGAGTTGCCACAGGTTCTTACAAGTCCTATCAATGAGGCAAACCGAATCCGGGTCCTCTCTTCGCCATGTTGTGAGGAGGTTTTTAGGCGCTGATGCGTGCCTGTGTTCGGTGCCCTGCAGCGCATGCTCTGCTCTGCCTGCAGGGGACTTACAAGACCTATCAGGCAAACCGAATCCAAGCCTTCTCATTGCCTTATTGTGGGGGAGACTTATTAGTGTTGGTTCGTGCCTATCTTCGGTGACCTGCAGCTCATACTCTGGTCGAGCTGCTTGCTGGCGCTTACCGCCTTAAATCAGGCAGACCGAATCCAAGCTTAATATTGTTGTATTGTGGGGAAGCCTTACTGATGTTAATTCGTGCCTGTCTTCGGTGACCTGCGGCGCATAAGCTGCTAGCTGCCCGCAGGTGCTCATCGCCTCACTTGATTAGGCAGACCGAATCCAAGCTCTCACATTGCAGTGTTGTAGGGAGGCCTTTTTATTTCTCTATTTCTCTATCTCCGGGCATTCCTATTTCTCCCATTTTACTTCTATCTTCCAGCATTCCTATTTTTCTCACTTTACTTCTAAACTTCTGTTTCTCTTATCCCTGCGGCTTTCCGGCGCCCGCCCCGAGACTACTTCTCGGCGGCTTCCCGGCTCTGAGCCGCTTCAGCCCGCGCTTCTCCGATCTGCGCGGCTTCCCGGCTTTGCGCGGCTTCCCGGCGCCTCGCCCCGCGGCAGCTTCACGGCTCCGCGCGGCTTCCCGGCGCCTCGCCCCGCAGGCGGGTTCCCGGCTCTGCGCGCACGCTCCGCGGTCTCCACGCACTTCGCGCCCGCACCACGGCCTCGCGCCAGCCCCGGCGTTCCCCATCTATTCACGCCCCGTGCTCTCTCTGCACGCGGCGGCTTCCGCGAATGTTTCCGCCACCACCGGCATTCAGTCCAAGTTCCCCGGACTAACCTGGCGAATTCCAACCTGGCGGCCCACGTCTCTGGTTCCAGATCTTCGCCTCCTGCTCCCTGGGGTGACTTGAAGAATTCCAAGATGGCTTGGCCTGCACTCGCGGCTTCATCCTCCCTAACATTTTTCTCTACCCGGTGTGTTTCCTTAAGTTTTCTTCCAACAATATTCCTCTCATTTCTCCTGGCTACTCCCCACAGTCCGTATCCGAGTCCAAGTTTCCTCTAGGTTTCACTTTCGCTTTCAATCTCCTAGCTTCCCCGCCATAGTCCGCATCCGAGTCTATGAAAGCTTTCACTTTCGCTTTCAATCCTAACTTCTTTCCCACAGTCCATATCCAAGTCTATGCCTAGGCTTTCAATAGCTTCTTCCGGCACCTTTCTCGTCCGGCTTTCCCCTAGGCTCTTTGCTAGTCTCTCTCTCCGGTATTTTCCACTTCTTCCCGTTTCTTCCTTCCTAAGTTTCATATCCGTCCTAGGTTTCCAATCCGAGCTAGGTTTCCTATCCGAGCTAGGTTTCCTATCCGAGTCAGGTTTCCTATCCGAGTCACGGCACCATTATGTCGCTCCCCCTCTTCGTGGGGGAACGACACAATACCCTGCCTAGGCTTCATATCCGAGTCACGGCACCATTATGTCGCTCCCCCTCTTTGTGGAGGAACGACACTAAGCCCTGCCTAGGCTTCATATCCGAGTCACGGCACCATTATGTCGCTCCCCGTCTTCATGGGGGAACGACACAGGACCCTGCGCTGTTCTTTCGTCTGCTCGGCCCTCCCCGGGTTTGCTGCTGGTTCTTCCCGGGTTGGCTACCGTCCCTTCCACCTCCGTGGAAGGGCAGTTCCCCCTGGCCGCATTCCCCACTTCCGCAGGGGAGCGGCACACCGCCGGCCGGCTCTCTGGGGGCTGCACGGGTTCCCTTAGATGTTCCCCATAGATGTTCCTGGTGCATGCCGTCTCTCTCCTCCTTTATAGTCCTCCTCCGCCAATCCTAACTCGGCTGCCCACACGCCAAGTACGCTGCTCTCCAATCAGGAGCAAGTCCTACAGTTTATTGGTTGAACTGGAGGCAGCTGGGTAGAAGCTGTTTTCTCCTCTCCCAGCGCCATATTGTAGGAGAGCAGATGCATAGAATAAGTCTTAATTCCAGTAACTTAGTCTAGTCCGAGCTGCTCCCCACAGAGGAGAGCAGATGCATAGAATAAGTCTTAATTCCAGTAACTTAGTCTAGTCCGAGCTGCTCCCCACAGAGGAGAGCAGATGCATAGAATAAGTCTTAATTCCAGTAACTTAGTCTAGTCCGAGCTGCTCCCCACACTAGTCTCCAAAACTATGAGCTAAAACATTTTTGTTTAAGCCACCCAATTTGTGGCCATTGGAGGGTGAACTAACGGCAAAGGAAGACCTTTCTCTCTGTCTCTCTCTCACTGTCCACTCTGCCTGTCAAAAAATAATAAAAAAAATAAAAAGAAAAAAAGAAAAACGTATTTAGAAAAAAAAAAGACCTTACCCTCAATTAAGGTCACATCATGAGGTACTGGGGGTTAGGACTTCAGTATCTAAATATGATTGTGGGGGAGAGACACAATTCAATCCTTATTACAACAGCCATAGCAAATTAAATACATTGCCTTCATGTGGTCTTCTTCAACCAATAATTATTTATCTGAGGGAGAGAGAGTGAGAGAGATCTCCCACCTGCTGGTTCTCTCTCCAAATTCTTGCAATAGCCACAGCTAGATTAAGCCAAAGCCAAGACTGAAGAATTCAATCCAGGTCTCCCATGCAGGTTTTAGGGGCCCAAGTATTTGAGCTACCACTTGCTGCCTCTCAGGATACAAATCAACAGAAAGCTAAAATTGGCAGCACAGTCAGGACTTGAACCCAGGCACTCCAATGAGGATATCTCAGTTTCTTAACCACTGTGACAAACACCTACCCTAACATGGTCTTCTTTTGAAAAAAAGGGGAGGGAGTTATTTATTTACTTTAAAGAGTTACAGAGACAGAGAGAGAGATGGAGAAAGAGACTCTTCCATCCACTAGTTCATTCCCCACATGGCCCCAGTGGCCTAGTCTGGTCCAGGCTGAGCACTGGGAGCCAGGAGCTCCCATGTGGGTGGTAAGGGTCTAAACACTTGGGCCATTTTCTGCTAATTTTCTTAGGCCATTGGCAAAGAGCTAGATCAGAATTGGAGCAGCCAGCACATGGGACCTGGTGCCAATATGGGACGACTGTATTGGCAGGTGATGGTTTAACTGGCTATGACATTTCACCAGCCCCTGATCTTCTTATGTTTTTTTTTTTAAAAAAGATTTATTTATTTATTTGAAAGGCAGTTACAGGGAGAGGGAAGGAGGGAGGGAGATAAGGGAGGGAGAGGGGGAAGGAGAGGGGGAGGGAGAGGGAGAGAGGGAGAGAAAAAGGGAGAGAGGGAGAGAGATTCTCCCTTCTGCTGTTTTACTTCCCCAGATAGCTGCGACAACTGAACAGCTGGAGCTAGGCTGGTTTGAAACCAGGAACCAGGAGCTTTCTCCAGGTCTCCCACATGGGTACAGAGGCACAAGTACTTGGGCCATCCTCCGCTGCTTTCCAAGGCATATAAGCAGGGAGCTGGATTGGAAGTATACCAACCGGGACTGGAACTGGTGCCCACATGGGATGCCAGCATCAAAGGTGATGGTTTTACCTGCTGTGCCATAATGCTGGCCCCTGGTCTTCTTATTTAAAAAAAAAATATTTATTTGGAAGGCAGAGAGACAAAACAAAAACCTTCCAGTTGTTGGTTCACTCCACAAATGTCCATAACAATTGAAGCTGGACTAGGCCAAAGCCAGGAGCCCGGAACCAAATCCTGGTCTTCCACATGGGTAGGAGGCACCCAAGTACTTCAGCCACCACCTGTTGCCTCCTGGGTTGCACATTAGCAGGAAGATAGAATTGGAAGCAGAGATAAAACTTGAACAATGCACTGCTTTATGGGATTGTGGGCATCCCAATTGGCATCTTAACTGCTATGCCAAATGTCTGCTCCTGATATGGACTTTTTTTTCTTTCCTAAAGGTCTGTTTATTTAATTGAAATGCAGTTAGACAAAGAGGGAATTGAAAGGCAGTTAGAGAGGGAGAGAGAAAATCGATTTTTCATCCACTGGTTCACTCCCCAAATGATTTCAAGTGCTGGGGTTGGGCCAAGCCAAAGCTAGGAGCCAGGAACTCCATCCAGGTCTCCCATGTGGTAGAGGGGTCCAAGGACTTGGGCCATCTTGTGCTGCTTCCCCAGGTGCCTTAGCAGGGAGTTGTTCAGAAGTGGTGCAGTCAGGACTCGAACCAGGTGTCCATACAGGATGGTATTGCAGGCAGTAGCTTAACCCTCTGAGCCACAAAACCGGCCCCACAATGTGGCCTTCTTAAAAGGATACTAGTCACTGGATTTAGGGTGCACTCCAATACAGAATAATCTCATGTTGAATATAGCTAAAGAAAACTTATATTTGCAAATAGGCAATATTTACAAATAATATTTATAATTCGTAGGACTTCAACAACCTATCTTTTTGAGGGATACAATTCAACCCTTAATACCTACTACATAGAATTTTAATTTTAGAAATTCTTGGCAATAAAGGGCTTACTGTGGTATGTCATTTGGTAGAAAAAGGGTTAAATTTAATTGTGATTTATTTTTAAAGTGTGTGGATGGTATAGAGTAACATATAAAAGACTAACTTGCTTATTCATTTTCTATTAAATAGTTTGGCACATTAACCTACAACCCAGGTCTTTAGAAAGGTTAAGGTTTTGGTCTATCATTATACAGAATTTATTATTTAAAAATTTATTTTATTGGGACCAGCATTGTAGTACAGGGGGTTAAGCTACCACTTGTGATGCTGGCATGCCTTATGTAAGTGTTGGTTACAAGTCCTGACTCCTCTATTTCCAATCCAACCCCCTGCTGATGCATTTGGAAAGGCAATGGAAGATAGCCCAAGTACTTGGGTCCCTGCTGCCCATATGGGAGATCTGGATGGAGTTCCAGGCTCCTGGCTTCAGCCTGGCCCAGCTCCAGCCACTGTGGCCATTTTGGGAGTGAACCAGTGGATGGAAGACCTCTGTCTCTCTGTCTCCACCCACCCCCAACACACTCTCTCAAATAAATAAAATAAACCCTTAAAAAATCTGTTAAAATTTATTTTATTTATTTGAAAGTCAGACAGGCAGAGAGAGAGAGAGAGAGAGAGAGATCTCTAATCCACTGGTTCACTTCCCAAATGCTACAATGGCCAGAACTGGGCCAGGCTGAATCCAGGAACCAGTAACACAATAAAGATCTCCCACATGGATGGCAGGAACCCAACCACTTGAACCTACACCTGCTGCCTCCAAGATGTGGTCAAATAGGAAGTGGAGCTGGGCCTTAAACTTAGGCATCACAAGCAGTGTCTTAACCACTGCGCCAAATAGTTGCCCCTATTATAAGAGATTTAAATTAGTCTTTCCTCCAATTCCAAAATACTTGGAAAAAGTATAATTCTATCCCACTAAAAAAAAGCTGTTTAAACTCTGAATTGTGCTGGTTGGCTTTATATTGTGATATTATGATTAAGTACACACACACATAGATTCATATATAAGTTATCATCAATTATATATGTGTGTATGTGGTTTTTATCTGTGGCTCACGGTTTATAACTCCCTCTGCAAAACATGCTATCTTGTCTGACAGTATGTCATAAGGTCCCCGTTTGAGTAGGTGTCCTGTTCCATGTCCCAAGTGGAGAAATGCTGCACAGACAGGCCAAGAAGAATCTGGACAGGCCTTAATGGGTTTCACTATTCAGTCTAATAGCACTAGATCAGACCCTCTTTTTGCAATCACTTTACTATATGATTGTCCATGTTTTAATCATGCCTATGCAATAAAGTTTTCATAAAAAAACCAAAAAGATAGGATCTGGAGAGCTTCCAGAAAGCTGAACACTCAGAGTCTCATACAGGATGGTGCACCCAGAGAGGGGGTGGAAGCTCCATGCTCTTCCCTATACATCACTCTCTACATCTCTTCATCTGTGTTCAACATGGTATCTTTTATAATAAACTGGAAAATCTGTTTCCCTGAGTTCTGTGAGCTGTGCAAGCAAATGAATCAAATCTGAGGATGGGCTTGTGGGAACCCTTATTTATAATCCATCATTGAGCGCACAGGTAAAACCATTTGGGACTTGGGATTGACATCTGAACTTGTGTGGGTTGTGGGGAGGATCTATCATGGGGGCGGAGCCTTCAGTGTGTTTGATCCTAACACTGTCTCCGGTAGAGCGTCAGACGTGATTGATTTAGAAGACACCAGCTTGTGTCTCCTGCAGCACTGCTTGCTTCCTTGCTAGTGGGGTCAAATCCCTACCCTTTTGGGGGTCACAGCAGCATTCTGTGTTGATTGTTTTGGTGTGAGAACATGGACAAAGACAGTTGTTTTTCCAACATTGGTGTCAATTTGATTGGACTAAGGAACACCTAGACAGCTAATAAAGTGATTAATACTGGGTGGGTCTGTGAAGCTGTTTCCAGGCGAGACTGGCATGTGAGTCATTGGACTGAATGGGGAAGATCCACCTCAGTATGGGCAAGTATCATTCAAATAAACAAAAAGGCATGAAAAAGGCTAATTCTGTTTCTCTCTTGGAGCTGGGACAGCCCTTCTACTAAGTTTGGTCATCAGAACTCCAGGCTCTCAGGCCACTGATCTGAGAATTGTACCAGTAGCCCCCTAGTTCTCAGGCCTTCAGCCTTGTATTGAGAAACACATCAGTTTCCAGAAATGAGAGGCTTTCTAACCAGATTGAGCTGTCCTCTGGGCATTCTCAGGTCTGTAGCTTTCTAAGGGCTTACTGGGGACTTCTCACTCCAGAATCTCATGAGCCAGTTCCTCTGGTAAAGCCTCTCTCCCTTTCTCTCTCCCTCTCTCCCTCGCTCCCTCTCTCCCTCCCTTCCTCTCTCTCTTCCTGCCCCCCCCCCATTTCCTTATTGGCTGTCTCTGGAGAACCCAAATGCATCAATATTCCATGTCAATCCAGTCCCTGGCCATTAAAATATATTACTATTTATAGTTATTTTAAAAATAAAGTTGGCCAGCGCCATGGCTCACTAGGCTAATCCTCCGCCTGCGGCACCGGCACTCCGGGTTCTAGTCCCAGTTCAGGCGCCGGATTCTGTCCCGGTTGCTCCTCTTCCTGTCCAGCTCTCTGCTGTGGCCCGGGAGGGCAATGGAGGATGGCCCAAGTGCTTGGGCCCTGCACCCCATGGGAGACCAGGAGAAGCACCTGGCTTCTGGCTTCGGATTGGCGCAGCGCTGGCTGTGGCGGCCATTAGGGGAGTGAACCAACGGAAGGAAGACCTTTCTCTGTCTCTCTCTCTCACTGTCTATAACTTTACCTGTCAAATAATAATAATAATAAAAAAGCAAAATCTCTTTGACTAGCTCCATCTCACAAGAGCATTTTATATTTTTTTAGTTGTAGCTCTTATGTATGCCGAAGGGATCAGTGGTTATTAAGAGACCCAAGTGGGTATCCAGGGCAAGGTCACAGGCTGCATGTTGATGATCTCTCAATCAGGATTGTGGCACTGTGCAGGCCACCCCTTCTTGGTCCACTGCCTTTGAACAAACAAACTTTTGTTTTACCAAACCAAAGGCGAAATGTGCTGACTAAGCCTTTTGTTGCCAGGAAAACTGTATTGTATTTCTGTGTGTGTGTGTGTGTGTGTGTGTGTGATACAAAAGGTTAAAACAAAAATATGTGACCATGCAGCTCTGAGCTCTGAGGTTATACTACATGGCTATGAAAAAAAACCCTGCATTTAAGTGACAGATTTTATCTGAAAAATTTATGTATTTTTCTGCTTAAAAGCTTTTTCTTAATAAAATGCAAAATTCAGATTCCTTGTCCTCAAGGAGTTTCTAATCTAGTTGGAGAAATAAGATTAGTTCAAGCAGAATTATGGATTATGGGACTAAAATATCTTATTTTGAATGTTGGCTTAGAAACCCATTTAGGGCTCAGACAATAATATCCCAAAATGTGCCACTTTGGACTTCAAACTGAGAGCCCCTGGGATACAGAAAATGCAGGAAGAGCTTTCTCTGCAGTTCTTTTATCTATAAAGTCCAGATCTGCCAAAGAGGAATACAATTGTCTTCTATCTTCCTACTGAAATTTCATTACCCAAGAAAGATTAAACTCCTATCACAGATGCGGGCATTGTGGTGTAGCGGGTAAAACTGCTGCACCTACATGGGAGACTCAGAAGAAGCTCCGGGCTCCTGGCTTCGGATCGGCCTAGCTCCCGCTGTAGTGGCCATTTGGGGAATGAACCAGTGGATGGAAGACCTCTCTTTCTCTGCCTCAGCCTCTCTGTGATTCTGCCTTTCAAATAAATAAAAATAAATGTTTAACAAAAAAAGGTTTTTTTTAAAGATGTACTTATTTATTTTGAAAGTCAGAACTACCAAGAGAGAGGGAAAGACACAGAGAGATCTTTCATGTACTGACTGACTACCCAGATGACCGCAATGGCCAGTGCTGGGCCAGGCTGAAACCAGGAACTCCATCTGGTTCACCTGAATGGCTGGCAAGGGCTAAATACTTGGGTCAGCTTCTACTGCTTTTCCCAGGCCACTGTCAGGGAGCTGAATCAGAAGTGGAGCAGCCTGGACACAACTCAGTGCCCACATGGGATGCTGGTGCTGCAGGCAGCAGCTTTACCCGCTACACCTCAGTGTCGGTAAGAGACTGGAAACAGAACATCATACCCAGAGCTCAAAGGAACTTAGGTCATTGTCTGTTCTCTGAGCTGATCTTTTTCCCCTAAAAATCATTTACTTTGAAATTTCCTAAATTGCCCCACTTTCTTCTTCCTTGAAAAGTGGGTATGTAAGCCTCAATTATCTGGTCCTCCTTTGAGTTTCATATTTTGTGTGGCTCCTCTGTACATCTGAACATTAATATATTTGTATACTTTTCTCTTGTTGACCTGTCTTGCTAGTTTATTTTGGCAGGCTTAAAAACTGAACCTTGGGGCTGGCATTGTGGTGTACATATTAAGGCACTACTAGCATCCCATATGGGCATTGGTCCAAGTACTGTCTACTCCACTGCTGATCCAGCTCCCTGCTAATCACCTGGGAAAAGCAACAGAAGATGGCCTCTGCACCCACACAGGAGACCTGGATGAAGCCCCTGGCTCCTTGCTACGATTTGGCCAAGCCCTGGCTGTGAGGTCATTTGGGGAGTGAACCATCAGATAGATTTCTCTCCCTCACCCCCCCCCCCCATAAACCTGACTTTCAAATACATAAATAAATAAATATTTAAAAACAAACAAAAAAATATTGAACTTCCCTATACCCATCTGGTCTGAAACTGCCTGCCAAGGTGGAATTCTTCGTACAAGATACTCAGTAAATAGTCTTTTTTTAAAAATTTTTTTTCTGTGACAGGCAGAGTTAGACAGTGAGAAAGAGAGACAGAGAGAAAGGTCTTCCTTCTGTTGGTTCACCCCCCAAATGGCTGCTACGGCCGGCGCACTGTGCTGATCCAAAGCCAGGAGCCAGGTGCTTGCTCCTGGTATCCCATGTGGGTGCAGGGCCCAAGCACTTGGACCATCTTCCACTGCACTCTTGGGCCACAGCAGAGAGCTGGACTGGAAGAGGAGCAACTAGGACAGAATTCGGTGCCCCAACCGGGACTAGAACATGGGGTTCTGGTGCCGCAGGCGGAGGATTAGCCTAGTGAGCTGCGGTGCCGGCCTCAATATTTTCAATTGAATAGGCTATCTCTTCCCACTGATTTATAACAACCTGAATTTATACACGCACACACACACACACACATTTGGATACTTCAAAAATTTGTGGAAAATAGAATTAAAATTTAAGTTTAGGGGTGGGTGTGTGGCACAGTGAGTTAAGCTGCCATTTGTGACACAGCATCCTGTGTCAGAGCACTGTTTCAAGTCCCAGCTGTTCTGCTTGAGATCTGGCTCCCTGCTAATGCCCCTGGGAAAGCCATGGAAGATGGCCCAAGTATACGGGTCCCTGCTACCCACAAAGGACACCTGGATGGAGTTGCTGGCTCTTGGCTTCATCTTGGACAGGATGGCCCAGTTTTTGTGGCCATTTAGAGAGTGAATCAGCGGATGAAAGATTACTCATCACTCTCTCTGTCTCTCCCTCTGTCACTCTCTGCCTTTCAAATGAATCTTTAAAAACTTTTAGGTTTATTTGGATGCAAAAATATTTGAAATCCATGTATAAGGGGATCTTCAAAACATACATGGAAAATTATGGAAAAACTATGCATCAATTTCCTTTTCTTTTTTGTATCATTTGTTATTATTTTCTTTAAAAAAAAAAGATTTATTTATTATTTATTCAAAAGTCACAGTTACACAGAGAGAGGAGAGGCAGAGAGAGAGAGACAGACAGAGAGAGAGACAGAGAGAGAAAGGTCTTCCATCTGATGGTTCACTCCCCAGATGTCTGCAATGGCCAGAGCTGTGCCGATCCGAAACCAGGAGCCAGGAGCTTCTTCCTGGTCTCCCGCGTGGGTACAGGGGCCCAAGGACTTGGGCCATCTTCTACTGTTATTCCAGACCACAGCAGAGAGCTGGATCAGAAGAGGAGCAGCCGGGACTAGAAAGGGTGCCCATATGGGATGCCGGCGCCTCAGGCCAGGGCATTAACCCGCTGAGCCACAGCACCAGCCCCATTTGTTATTATTTTCATAAAATGAGGTATTTCAATGTGCTATCAGATATAGTATAGTATTAAATATGTGCATTCTGAAGAAATTAAACACAGAATTTTGCATTTACCCAGTTCCATGCCTCAAACATGAACAAATACATTAACAAGAAGAAACAGGCTAGGAAAAACATATTTACATACATATATTTATGTATATATCTTTAAAAGAAGTTTCCTAGTTCAAAAATGATAAAGTAATATCTATTCAAAACTTTAAAAATTCATTTTCATATGAAAATTATGAGTATCAAATTTAGTTATGTCTCAGCATCATACTACAGCATATGGACAATGTAAGAATTACTACAGTATATAACAAAGATTAACAATATATTTGCATATAAAACATGCTCTTCAAACATTTAGGTATTATTACAGAACTCAGGTGTGTGCTGCCAGCCTGATATTGGCTGCAAAAGCCATCTCTTATTACCCAGGATGTGTACAAAAGGCAGCTGTGTCAATGGTATTTGCAGAAATTCCCCAGGGATATGAAATGGCAACTCCCTTTTGGCATCTGCTGAAACAAAAGCACCATTTGTAAAAGAAGGAAGGACTTTCTGTTGTTCAGAAACCTAGAACAAACAAGGTGATTTCCACAGCCCCGAGGCTTCCAAACTGTTATTAGCTGAAGCTAGAAGGACCATCAGCATTCATCACATCACCAAGCTGAGGTTCCAGCAGAACCCCACATGGTTTCCCACCCCAGACCCAAACTCAACAGAGGAGTGATTTCAAAGTAAACCAATATTCTTAATGTCAATACAATGTTTGTTTACAAAAAAGATAACGACATCAAAACGTGCAAAGTGGTAGTAACTGTCCAGTTTTGAGAAACATTTAGCAAGTCCAAGTGTGTTCAGTTTTCTTTAGCAACTGTGCTGTCTCACCTGCAATTTTTCCCTTTCCAGCAAAAGCAGGTGCTCCTGGGTCTGAGGGAGTGGACGTACTCAGCAGCCTTCATTGGCTGGCCATTAAGACACTGCTGGGGATGCACACATTCCATATTGGACTGTCTGATTCAAGTCTGAGCTACTCCACTCCTAACCCAGCTTCTTGCTGATAACGCATCCTGGAAGGCAGCAGGTGATGGTCTATGTACTTGAATCCCTGCTACCCATGTTAAACACCTGGATTGAATTCTGGGCTCCTGACTCTGGCTTGGCACAGCCCCACTGTTGGGGGATATTTGTCTTTCAAATAAAATGAAACTAATAAATTGTTACATTTATAGATTAATTTATTGTGAATTGTCATCTTTATAGTAGTCAGTCTATCCTATATATAGGGTGTGTATAAATCTTTGACTATATATATTTACAGATTTATTGATTTATTTGAAAAGCAGAGTGATGAAGAGAGAGAGACACAGATCTTCTATCTGTGATTCACTTCCCAATGTCTGCAATAACCAGGTCTGGGAGAGGTCAAAGCCAGGAGCCAGGAACTCTATCCTGGTCCAGGGGCCCACATACTTGGATCATCTGCTGCCTCAGAGGCACATTAGCAGGGAGCCATATTGGAAGTGGAGTAGCTAGGACTTGAACAGGAGCTCCAATATGGGATGCTGGTGTGGCAAGCGGCAGCTTAATCTGCTGTGCCATAATGCTGATCACCCAAAATATCTATTTTCCTCCTACCAACCTACTTTTTGAGACAACCCACTCAATCATTGGATGGTTCTGATTATTTTTATTTTATTTTTTAAAGATTTTTTAATTAATTTTTTTATTAATTTGAAAGAGCTACAGAGAGAGGTAGAGACAGAGAGAGAGGTCTTCCACCTGCTGGTTCACTCCCCAGATGGCCGCATCTGAAACCAGGAGCCAGGAGCTTCTTCCATGTCTCCCACATGGGTGCAGGGGCCCAAGGACTTGGGCCATTTTCCACTGATTTCCCAGGCCATAGAAGAGAGCTGGATTGGAACAGGAGCAGCTGGGACCAGAACCGGCACCCATATGGGATGCCAGTGCTTCAGACCAGGACTTTAACCTACTGTACCTCAGTGCCAGCCCCCAGTTCTGATGATTTTTAAAGTTCTTCCTTATTTGATGTACATCTCTTTCCCTGTATTTTCTAGGCATTGGTTCTAATTTTGCCCCTTGTAAGCACATGAGAATCAAAATGATAAATCTTTATTCTCATTTTTTAAAGATGTATTCATTTATTTGAAAGGCATAGTTACAGACAAAGAGGCAGAGAGAGGGAAAGGGACAGAGAGAATCTCTTCCATCTACTCCCCAAATGGCCACAGCAGCTGGGGCTAGGTCAGGCTGAAGACAGGAACCACTTTTTTTGGGTGCACATAGCCTGGAGCGAGTGCTGTAAAATAGTTAACAAAGTGGATGCCATTCTTATTATGGGACTTAAATTAAGATATTATGCCAATAAGATATTTAACACGGAATCAGACATAGTGGCCCTACCCCTATCACAATTAGAACTGTCCACATTGATGCAGAATAGCATGCTCTTTCAAACTTTAATGATAAATTTCCCAGGACAGGTTGACAATCACCTGCCGGCGGACAGACTACTCCAGATGTTACAAACCTTAGAAATAGACTATCCAAACATGCTTTCCCCGCTAATCAATCTATATCCATGGCACCATGCGTATTTACGGATGCCAACAAGTCACTATTTGGAGTAGTGATCAAATCCTCAACAGAAAAAGATAAGATCCATGTAGAACCCCACAGGGATCAGTACAGTTGGGAGAAAAAAGGGCAATAGTCATGATTCTACTCCTTAGCCAAGATGGGATGGTAAATATATTTTCGGACAGCAAATACTCAGTACAGGTAGCAAAGACAATCCCTTTTGCAGTCTTTAACCTGACCAATAAGCCAATTGACCAGATGTTCACAACACTTAAAGAGCTAACTGAGAATAGAAAACACCCACGGTATATCTCACATGTAAAATCACATACTGAGCTACCTGGCTTTACTTCCCAAGGCAACGAAAACGTTAATCGTCTTATCTCCTGCAACACAGCTTCCATTGTCCACCTAGAACAAGCCCGTATTCTACACCAAAAATTTCATGTCAGCAAGCAACATAAAATCACTTTTCCCGGAGCTAACAATGAACCAATGCAAACACCTAGTGTGCTCTTGCAAGAATTGCACCCCCCTTGCCCCGTTAGGCCCACTGCAACAAGCGGGAGTGAACCCACGAGACCTTGCTCCCAATATGCTCTATTTTCAGCAAGAGGACGTCACCCACATTAACTCCTTTGGTAAACTTAAGTTTGTCCATGTGGTGGTAGATACTTATTCAAAGGCTGTTTCTGCAACAGCTCAATCCAGAGAAAAGGCTATTAATGTCAAGTCAGCCATGCTGGTCCTTGGTGTCCCCTGGACCATAGAGATGGATAAAGGGCCAGTGTATACATCACAGGAATTTAATTCCTTCCTGAGGTCCTGGAACATACAGTCTGCCACAGATATCCCATACAACCCACGGGGACAGGCAATCATTGAAAGAACTCATAGGACGATTAAAGATCTCTTACAAAGAAAAACAATCATATGCCACCAGACCCACAGCTTGCTTTGATTGAGGTCCTTTTCACTATCAATTTTCTTACTTTTCATTCCCAAGGAGTCAGTCCAGCTTATAAACACTGGGGATCCTTTCCATCCCAGACCCCGGCCCCTGTGGTTAGGTAGAAAGACCCTTTGACAGGAGAATGAAGGGACCACACCCTCTGCTAACCAAAGGCAGAGGATATGTTTGTATCTTTCCAGAGAATGAGGGACAGCCCATTTGGGTACCAGCCAGAAACATCAAGCCTGCAACTGACAGTCAACCAGAACCAGCTGAACAAGACTGAGAGTCCACCTTGTTAGCAGGCACACCTGCTACCAATTGTCAAGCTGCTGCCCTATCATCCTGCCCTGAGGAACTGACCACAGCCCCATCCACTACTGCTTTATACCCCTCTAGCTCTGGTCAGCCACTCGAACAGCCAACAGCTTGCACGCGGTCATACCATTCCTGATTGCTATTGTTCCTCATTCCTACTCGATCTGAGCAAGCACTCCTGTGTTCTGTTTTGAAGGCTGGTTAGTCAACGATGGGTAAGATCCTCTGGGGGACAACCTAAGACAGGCACAGCTACATGAGGAGACTACAAGGAAACGGGGTCAACAATGGTATGGCCAAGGATCATGCCTCCCGTTGCTCAAAAATAAATGAAAAGGGGGAAATGTGGTGGAATGAGAAGGCCGTGCCAAGATGGTGCTAGCAAGTGAGCATCAGTTACTCAGGAATGGCTTCGGAAACCACATGGCAAAGGAGCCTGCCTGGCAACAGGCAGTGATTGGTTATGATTGGTTATAGCATAAACCGCCCCTTCACCAGATTGACTGCCTCAGCTATACAAGCTGCTGCACCAACTGAAATAAACGAATCTGTGAGCTGCTCACCTCTAGCCCCGCTTTCACCCAACTCCCAGTGTCTGTGTCATGACTCTGTGCCTCTTGCCCCCACCACGCTTCTCCTCTCAGAATGAATCCACAGCAACACCTGAAGCTCCATCCAGATATCCCATGTGGGTATAGAGGCCCAAGGATTTGGGCCATCTTCTGCTGCTTTCCCAGGCATATAAGCAGGGAGCTGGTTTGGAAGTGGAACAGCCAGGACTGGAACCAGTGCCCATATGGGATGCATGCATTGCAGGCAGAGGCTTAACCTGCGGTGCCACAATGCTGGCCTCCAAATTATAAACCTTTAACATGACCTAAAGAAACCTGCTTCAATACTTCCCCCTCCTTGTGTACTATGAAACACATAATAGTATATGTCTATGGAACACCAGGGTAAGTACAGTGAACTTTTTATAGTCCAAGGTGGTAGGGAGGGAATCAAGCTGCCTAGGGCCCTACTCTGATTTTGAGTGCTGGGGGGATGAACAGTGGGACCAGGTGGGACCCCGCCCGTGACATATCATCTAGGAAACCCTTCACTAGGTAGGGGTGTCCACTCTTTGCCCTCTCTGTACCTGTTTCTTTATTTCAGCTGCAAGAGCCAGTTTTTTTCTTTCTAACACATTCTCACTTCAGAGTTGAAACAGAAGTTTGCTGTTCCTTCTACCTAGACTGCTATTGCCCAGAAATTTACACAGCTCCCACTCTTTATTGTTTTATAAGTTTAATTTATTTGAAAGGCAGGGAGCAGGAGGGGGAGAAGACAGACACATAGAATGGTTCATTCTCCAAAACCTCCAACAGCCAAGTCTGGGCCAGGCCAAAGGCAAGACTTGATGCAAGATGCAGGCATCATAAACAGTAGCTTAACCTACTATGCCACTATTCATCCTTTAAATCTCAGCTTTATGTGTGTGGGGAGCAGCCCGGACTGGACTGAGTTACTGGAATTAAGACTTATTCTATGCATCTGCTCTCCCACAATATGGCGCTGGGAGAGAAGTAAACAGCTTCCGCACAGCTGCCTCCAGTTCAACCAATAAACTGTAGGACTTGCTCCTGATTGGAGAGCAGCGTACTCGGCGTGTGGGCAGCCGAGTTGGGATTGGCGGAGGAGGACTATAAAGGAGGAGAGAGACAGCATGCACCAGGAACATCTATGGGGAACATCTAAGGGAACCCGTGCAGCCCCCGAGAAAGCCGGCTGGCGGTGTGCCGCTCCCCTGCGGAAGTGGGGAATGCGGCCAGGGGGAACTGCCCTTCCACGGAGGTGGAAGGGATAGTAGCCAACCCGGGAAGAACCAGCAGCAAACCCGGGGAGGGCCGAGCAGACGAAAGAACAGCGCAGGGTCCTGTGTCGTTCCTCCACGAAGAGGGGGAGCGACAATGTGGACTCTTTAGGCTGCCCTACCTAAGGGAGCAACCTATTCTCTAGTAGTGGTAACACTACTTCCAGAAAATATCCAAATGATTTGTATGCTCATTGCTTCTTTTCCCCCACTAGAAAATAAGCTCCAGAAATGCAGGATTCTTGCCTATTTCGTTCCCATCTATGCCCAAAACTTTAGACTGTGTCCCACATAGGCACTCAGTAGGTATTTACTAAATAGATTAGTAACTGGGCTCCCTATTCTTGGAGGATATTTTTCATGACATTAGTTCTTAATTCCAGCTTAACTTCTCTTCCTTAACTTGCTTCCCACAGCCAAACTTCTTGGTATCATCAAAGGGCTCTGGGAGAAATTGCTTGCCCAGTTATGACTCTTGCTAAGTGCCTTCTCTCCTACTTTTCCTCTTGGTCACAGAGAGATCATCAGACCTTATCAGCCCTCTTGCAGAATCTAGACACACTGTGACTGTAGTATTCTCGGAACCCATCCAGTTTAGTAAACCTATCAAAAACGGAAATGAGGTTAGCTTGGCAGGAAATGAGATCAATTTGGCAATTGATGGTGAAACACTGAACAATGTGGGAGTTAACAGTAGTCTGAGTTAACACAAGGCGTGTCCTAAGGCACTACAATAAGACCAAATAGATAGTGAGGTGTGCAGGGCGATTTGGGCTCACAGAGGGACAATCCTTGTAAACTGGTGATTTATTGCTATGTACCTTGGGCAGTGGATGTGCAGTGGAGAACTGTTGAGTCTTCCACACCTGAGATACAGATCTCTCTGGGTATCTATAGGATAATGGCAGAATTAATAAGCATAATTTATTGGGTCTCTTACACCCTGTACTAAGTGTTTGTTATTTGTAATCCTCCAATATCTCTTAAGTGTAAAGGACTAAAAGACCTACCCAATGTCATAAAGTGCATGGTAAGGCAGGGGCCCTTTTATCTTTTCCTATGGTGAGGGGGAGGCAATGCAAACCTTGGGCTCTAAGGAGTTATTTTTCAAGCGAACATTGGTTTGAATTATCTACTATATAAACTGCTTAATCAACTCTGAAACATTACATTTAATTTGTTAGCATTATTCTTAACAGACCACAAAACTGCATTAGAAGGTTAAGAGTGGGGACCAGCGCTGTGACGTAGTAGGCTAAGCCTTTGTCTGTAGTGCTGGCATCCCATACCGGCACCAGTTTACATCCCGGCTGCTCTTCTTCCAGTCCAGCTTTCTGTTTATGGCCTAGGAAGATGGCCCGCGTGCATGGGCCCTTGCACCCATGTGGGAGACCCGGAAGAAGCTCCTGGCTTCCAATCAGCTCAGCTCCTCCCGTTACAGCCGTTGGAGAGTGAACCAGCAGATGGAAGACCTCTTTAGTCTCTCCCTGTCTAACTTTGCCTCTCAAATAAATAGATCTTTTAAAGAAGAAGAAGGGGGGGAGGAAGGGGAGGAGGTAAGAGTCAATATAGAACTACAGAACAAGATGAGATGGTTATCAAAGGTGATCAGCACACTCATGTTTCTTATGTCACAGCTCATCAAAAGCTGGTGGGAGGTGGTGCTGTGACAGAGTTAAGCCACCTGGGAAGTCAGCATCCCATACCAGTGTGCTGGTTTCAGTACCATCTACTCCATTTTCGATCCAGCTCCTTGCTGGTACGGTTACAAGTACTCAAGTCCTTGCCATCTACATAGGAGACCTGGATGGAATTCCTAGCTCTTGGCTTCAGCCTGGCCCAGCCTGGCTGTTGTGGACATTTGAAGAGTGAACCACCAGGCCTGCTTTGTGGCATAGTGGGTGAAGTCACTGCCTGTGAGCTGCATTCCCACATAAGCAAGGACTCCTATCTGGGCTGCTCCACTTCTGATGCAGCTCCCTGCTCATTGTCTGGGAAAAGCCCAAGTGCTTGGGCTCCTGCTACCCATGTGGGAGACCCGGATGAAGCGCCAAGCTTCTGGCTTCAGTGTGGTTAAGCTCTGACCGTTGCAGCCATCAGGTGAGTGAACCGGCACATGGAGGAGCTCAATCTCTCTCAAATAAATAAATAAATCTTAAAAAAAGAAAAAAAAAGAGTGAGCCACTGGATTAAGGTCCCTCTGTCATTCTGCCTTTTAAATAAACCAACTTTTAAAATAATACAAGCTAACAGGCATACAAACTAACCAACAAAATATGAATGAAACTAATAACGTTAAAAAAAAAAAAAAAAAAAAAAAGGCCGACGCAGCGGCTCACTTGGCTAATCCTCTGCCTGCGGTGCCGGTACCCGGGGTTCTAGTCTTCCAGCCCAGCTCTCTGCTGTTTCCCGGGAAGGCAGTGGAGGATGGCCCAAGTGCTTGGGCCCTGCACCCACATGGGAGACCAGGAGGAAGCACCTGGCTCCTGGCTTCTGGTGGGTGCAGTGCCGGCCGCAGTGGCTATTTGGGGGGTGAACCAACAGAAGGAAGACCTGTCTGTCTGTCTGTTTCTCTTTCTCTGTCAAAAAAAAAGAAAAGAAAAAAAAAATTAATGATGTTGTTAACATGAGGGATCCAGTTTAGCCCATTAACCTATTTCATCCACATCTTTTCTTAATTTGTAGAAATAACTATGAAATTATAACTAGCAAGAACCAGAGGCCAATTAGAATTATAAGGCCATGTGGAAGACAATATTTTCACTGATAGCCTCACATCTTCCACTTCTCATAGTCCAAGCCCCCCGGCTGCTTCCCTTCGCCCCCTTCCCCAATCCCGGGCCCCAGCTCTGCCCTAGGATGGCTGAGCCGGTCCCAAGGGAAGAGCGTAGAGCTCTTCTGGGCAGATGTGGCCTGAAAACGCGCCCCAGCGAGCCTGGCATTCACCTGCAGGGGCGACGGGGCTGAGGCGGCGGAGACGCCCCCCCGCCCGGAGGACACGGGGACAGCGTGTCTGCCGCCCTCCAGGAGCCCCCGGGCCAAGCCAGGGGGTTGGGTCTTTCTCCCTTGCGGCGAGGGTCTGACTGACCTAGCTCGCATCTCAAAGACTCCAGCCCTCCAGGCCAGGCCGGAGAAAGGGACTCCGTGTGGGCTGGTGAGGAGGCGTCCCCTCCCAGCCTCTCTGGGGCGTCTCTATCCTGGCCAGTCTTTCGTCCCCAACTGTTCCTGGGACCTGTGAATACGTTTTCACAGTGACTTAGCTGAAATAAAGTTAGTTGTACGTGTTAGACCAACCTCATCTGTTAAAAACAAACAAAAAACAGTACTCCTGGGGCGGCGCGGCTCAGGCGTCCGGGCCCGCGGGCGCGACGCCGCCCGGCCCGCGGCTGTTGGCCCCGCTGCATTGTGGGAGCTCGGCCGCCGCCGTCGCCAACCGCCGCCAACCGCCGCCTGCGCCTGCGCCTGCGCCTGGGCCGCCGGCGCCGCGCACGCCATGGGGACCGTGACCGACGACGAAATCATACGGAAGCGTCTCCTGATTGACGGGGATGGCGCAGGGGATGATCGGAGAATTAATCTGCTGGTGAAGAGTTTCCTTAAGTGGTGCGGCTCTGGCTCGCAGGAGGAGGGACACAGCCAGTACCAGCGTATGCTGAGCACGCTGTGGCAATGTGAATTTTCCATGGGCAAAACGTTGCTGGTATACAACATGAATCTCAAAGAAATGGAGAATTATGAAAAAATTTACAAAGAAATCGAATGTAACATTGCTGGAGCGCATGAAAAAATTGCTGAGTGCAAAAAGCAAATTCTTCAAGCAAAACAAATACGGAAAAATCGCCAAGAATACGATGCGTTAGCAAAGGTCATTGAGCAGCATCCAGACAGGCATGAGACTTTAAAGAAACTAGAGTCTCTGGGGAAGGAGTTGGAGCGTCTTTCACACATTAAAGAGAGTGTTGAAGATAAGCTGGAATTGAGACGTAAACAGTTTCATGCTCTTCTCAGTAACATCCAGGAACTGCAACAAACTTTGGAAAATGATGAGAAGCTTCCAGAGACAGAAGCTCACAGAACAAGCGTGGAAGCAGATCCCAAGCCAGGGACAAGCTCATCCCTCTTCATTCCTGAGACTACTGAAACAGCGACGTGATCTTAAGATAGATTTAGAATGTGTGGTGCTCTTGAGATACTTAAAGTGTTGGCAGTGAAATTCTTTTGCTTTTAGGTATTAATGCAGATTTCATATTTCTTCACATGAAGATGACTTCAGTATAGATTTGTTTTTGTTGAAATGCATTTTTTTTTAATTCTAGAAAGCAGTATTCCAAAATGCTTAATAAAATGTTTACAAGCTGGAAAAAAAAAAAAACCTGAGTGTGATGTCAGTTGTGGGATGGTGAATAAAGTACTGGGTTTGGAGTCAGGACAGAACTTCAATCTTTGGGCAAGTTTCTTCAAAGTAAATTAATCCCCAACTGTTAGATGAGCTGCATATGGGCAAGCACCTAGTTTGGTGCCTGGTGCACATTGCGTACTCAGTATATGTTTCTTAAATGAAGAATTTGATCAAAGAATTGAATCCCCCTGTCCCTTTTTGAGCCTGCTATACCGACAATGAGTTCCCTTTGATCTGTAGGTCTCAAATTCATTCTTGGCCTATGGGACCAACGACCCTGCTCCTCTCAGTGTGTTTAAATACCAAAGCCCTAGGAGAGAGTATTAGATTGGCCAAGCTTCTGTCATGCCCCAGGAGGGCAGAGAGAGGAAGTTTCTGTTGGATGTCTTCTCCAAGGACAGCTGCAGCTTCCTTAATGAGAGGAGAGATTCTTGCATCTGGCCAATGCGTGATGGGGAATCGCTAAAAAATTGAATTCAAAGGTTAATTTACCACCAAATGGCCACAATGCACTTCAAAATCACATACGTTCCTGGAGTTAATTCTCAGGGATTGTGCGAGGCTTTTCTCTGCTCCGTTGGCGGGAATGATTAGATGTGACTACAAAAACTCCAGAGCTTCGCCATCAACCACGGTTATTTACGGAGCTAGAGCCAGAGAGAAGAGCTGGGGATGTGGAGAGGTGGCGGGTCCCTGGTCTCAGCCATGGAGACCTTACTACAGCAGTTTTCACTTAGGAATCCACACACCTGCTTGCTGAAACCTCTCTCGGGGCCCAGATGGCAGGTATACATCCATGCGCCTTGTGAAAAGGCGTTTTAAAGCATTAGACTATCTTGATAATTTTCAGGCTTTAATATGCTTTCCTGTTGCCTTGACTCTTGTAAAGTGAATGTTTATGTCCTCTGATTATGAGTTTATTATGATTATGAAAATCCCGTGGAATCTTATCCCCTGGTGTTCAGGCTCACAACTGGGTTACATTAAGATGGTATCCAAGTGGCAGCTGCTTCTCTGGAAGCCCAGACCCTCCTACCCACGAGCAGGATTCAGCTCGCTCCAGGCGAGCGCTGTTCTATGTAGTGCAGTTTTGGGCCCTGGCAGGTTGTCACAAGAGTAGTTTTGTCGCTCCCTCTCTTCATGGAGGAATGACACTAAACCCTGCCTAGGCTTCACATCCGAGTCACGGCACCATTATGTCGCTCCCCCTCTTCGCGGAGGAACGACACAGGACCCTGCGCTGTTCTTTCATCTGCTCGGCCCTCCCCGGGTTTGCTGCTGGTTCTTCCCGGGTTGGCTACTGTCCCTTCCACCTCCGTGGAAGGGCGGTTCCCCCTGCCACATTCCCCACTTCCGCGGGGGAGCGGCACACCGCCGGCCGGCTCTCTCGGGGGCTGTACAGGTGTTCCTTCAGATAGATGTTCCCCTTAGATGTTCCTGGTGCATGTTCTCTCTCTCCTCCTTTATAGTCCTCCTCTGCCAATCCTAACTCGGCTGCCCACACGCCGAGTACGCTGCTCTCCTCCAATCAGGAGCAGGATCAGCTCCTGGAGGTCATCACTCAAGTTGGCAAGAGGCAGCTGCGTAGAAGCTGTTTTCTCCTCTCCCAGCGCCATATTGTGGGAGAGCAGATGCATAGAATAAGTCTTAATTCCAGTAACTTAGTCCAGTCCGGGTTGCTCCCCACAAGTTTGAGACCAGCACCCAAGCTAGGCCTGCTTCTGTTGGCCATTGCTCAAGTCTAGAGGGGTGTTGCTGAAGGCTCTTTTTGTTATGGGCTGGGTTGGGCCTAAATTAATTTCCCAGACTCTTGCCTTTTACTTAGAGAATAATTTTTTTTTTTTTTGACAGGCAGAGTGGATAGTAGCTAGTGGATCGGCGTAGCTCCGCCCGTAGCGGCCATTTGGGGGGTGAGCCAACGGAAGGAAGACCTTTCTCTCTGTCTCTCCCTCTCACTGTCTGTAACTCTACCTGTCAAATAAATAAATAATCTTTAAAAAAAAAGCATTAAGTCTTAAAAAGTTATGTTAAATATCATTATGATCAGATCTGTTCTAAAAGTATTATAATCGCCCTGACTAAATGTTAAGAAATTCTATTTTGACCAGATACTCTAAGTTCTCTTGGCACCTTTAACAGATTTTCTGAAAATCAAAGTTTAAAATTCTCCAGACTTTTGATACCTCCAGAGGGGCCCCTGGAGATGTCAAAAGATATATCTCTCATCTCGCAGAGATAATAACCAATTGGGCTGTTTAGATTAAAAGTGGTGCCAAGATGTGAAATGATGCTAAACTTCAGTTATAAACGTGTTTCTTCCTCGCTGCTCCAGTCTCTGGCTCAGAAGCCAGATCCTTTAAAGAGGGACTGACAAAGTCTAAGAAGCGTCCCATGGTCGTGATTTACATCACCTTAATGCCCAGACCTTAGGACTAAGATATGGAATCACCCAGGAACAGGCAAGGCAAATTGTAAAATCCTGCCCTTCCTGTGTTACATTTCTCCGGGTCCCTCACTATGGTGTAAATCCTAGAGGATTTATGCCTAATCAGCTTTGGCAGATGGATGTTACCCATTTTCCTAAATTTGGTAAGCTAAAATACATACATGTCTCTTTAAATAACATGTTCAGGTTTTGTTTTCGCCACCCCGCAATCGGGTGAGGCTGCCAAACATGTCATCTCTCATTGCCTTCAGGCCTTTGCTGTTTTAGGAACCCCTATACAAATAAAAATTGATAATGGCCCAACATATAAGCACTTCTGTACTAACTTCCACATCTCTCATATCACTGGGATTCCTTATAATCCCCAGGGACAAGGTATTGTGGAATGTGCACACGCCACATTAATAAAATTATTTACAAAAAATAAAAAAGGGGGAATACAGGACCATAGCACATTCCCCACAAAAATGGCTATCACATGCTCTTTTCATTTTAAATTTTTTAATACTGGATAATCAAGGGAAATCTGTGGCCGATCGTCACTGGCATCCTGAAACCAAAAGACAACAAGTCTATGTGAAGTGGAAAGACCCTCTAACTGCTCAATGGTATAGACCTGACCCTGTTTTAATATGGGGATGTGGACATGTTTCTATATTCTCGTGGAAAGACAATGAAGTGCGGTGGTTACCTGAGCCACTGGTGCGGCAAACAGACAATGTCACGAAGCAGCCCCTTGATCTTCATCATGATAACATTACTGATCGGGATCCCCCTGAAAATGAATGAAGCTTGCCGGCTCACATCAGGCCAAACCTACGTTACCACCTCTGTTGGTTCGCCGGTAGTTCTAAATTGTTCATGTACTTATGATAATGGAATTAAAACAGCAGGGTTTGTACAATGGGTAAGGAACAATCAAACCTTGTTCCATATTGGGAGGGATATAGTTGAAAATCAATGACTTAATGTGACTGATCAATCAAAATGGGAGAATACTGATTTTAGCATATCAAACTGGTCACATTGTCAGACTCCGGGGTATACCTTTGTCAATTCTGGAAAAAGGGCCTCGTTGATGTATTGGTTAAGTGGTTTTTTTTTTTTTTTTTTTTTTGACAGGCAGAGTGGATAGTGAGAGAGAGAGACAGAGAGAAAGGTCTTCCTTTGCCGTTGGTTCACCCTCCAATGGCTGCCACAGCTGGCGCGCTGTGGCCGGCGCACCGCGCCGATCCGAAGGCAGGAGCCAGGTGCTTCTCCTGGTCTCCCATAGGGTGCAGGGCCCAAGCACTTGGGCCATCCTCCACTGCCTTCCCCGGGCCACAGCAGAGAGCTGCTGCTGCCTTAGCCAATATTGATGAGGAACTTGATCGGGTCCGGACAGGTGTGTTGCTCAACCAGGCTGCCATTGACTACTTACTACTGAAAGATCATATAAGCTGTGACTTGATTCCTGGAGCTTGCTGCTTTAATATCTCAAATAATGTTCCTTACATAAAATATCTGGTACAGAAGCTAATAGGTGAACTTCAGCACATGTTTCTAACTAATCCCTTTTCTTTTGGTGGATTTCAATGGACCCACTGGCTTTTGATGTTGCTGGGTCCTTTATTGCTGCTCCTGCCTTTCTGTCTGTGCCTCCCCTGTATATTCCAAGGCCTCTCTGTGTCATTTGGTGCCATTTGGTCTGAGATTTTAAAGTTGCATTCACAGCTTCACCCCCGAGCCAAAAAGGATGGCATTGAATTCCAGTGACGGGTAAGACTCGGTCTCCTTGTACCAACCTAAGACAGGAGCCTCAGAGAATGTCTGGGGTGTCCAATGATGGGTAAGGACAAGAAGAGACACGGGCAACCTAAGACAGGAACAATGCCTCAAAAAATAAAAAAGGGGGAAATGTGGGCAGCTGCAGGCAGTCGCCCCTTTTATTTACACTTAAACATATGGATGGAGACATCCTGGCACACACAATTAGGCTAAGGAGATTCCAGGAAGAGGCAGGAAGAACCATATCTCGCTGCTAGACTTCTCACAAGAGATGATGTAGATAATCAGCCACACCCGAAACCAGCATTTATTACCTAGGTGTTTCATTATACCCTTGTAATCTATGATTGATTACATTTTGTGATCTGTTAAGCAAAGTCTTTTAGATATGTAAATCCTCTGTGTGCCTTCTTGTGTACAACTGGTCATGTTTAAATACTACTGGACTTGTTGAATAAATGAGCCTTGATCAGGATTTGTCTTGGCTCCATTCTTTGCGTCCTTGTCCCCACATTCCCACTCTCTGTTTCAGGAAACCCGGTTCATTGTGCTGCAGGCTGGCACAATGGCCAGGGTGAGGAGCTTCATCCCAGTCTCCCACATGGGTGCAGGGGCCCAAGTACTTGTGCCATTCTCCTCTGCCCTCCCAGACACATCAACAGACTGCTGGATTGGAAGTGGAGCAGCTGGGATATGAACCAGCACCTATATGTGAGGTTGGCATTGCATAACATGCTAAGCCACAACACCAGCCCCTGGAGTCTTTCTGATCTAGAACAACCCCAAAACTAGTTGGAGAAGTTTCTATAGAACCCCAGAACTGGGTCTGCTCACCTGGTAAGCACCAGTCACCGACTCTCTGGTGGAAAAAAAGTAGGTATTTATTGCAATGCACAGAGTAAGGAACCAGGCAGATATGCTCAGTTCCTGACTTCCCAAGAGAGTAAAGGCAGTGAAAAATCCAAAGTTGGGGCTGAGCAGTACTCAACTGTGGGCCTCTGATTGGTACACAGTGTACTTGGCCTTTGATTGGTCAGTGATGGGGCTGCCATGTTAGGGATAGATTGGGCATTACTTTCTGTGATCAAGCCTTGAAATTTCTGAAAGACATCTCAATTTAAGTCTTAATACGAGGATGCTGGGGGTGACAAGTGAATTTTCAGGCCTGCAATTGGAATTTCTGCCTGTGTGTTCTTGCAAGAGCTGTCAGAACAGAGATTAGCAATGAGATGTTAAGGATAGGGACAATTGTGCTACCTCCTTAACTTAATGAGCTGAGTTTTAAAGAGGAATTGCAAGCTAAAAATTGCATGCTAAGGACAAGATATTGGGACCTGATAATTCTACATCAAAGGATACTATGGATAGGACTTGGTTACACTTCTAGCCCAATGTGGCATTAACTTCTACCATGAGGCAGAGCAGGAATGAAGATAATGAAGATAGGGACTTCAATAGAAGAGGGAGTGTTCCAGATTAGATAACATCTTTGGACACAGACTTCCAGTGAAGAAGGAACAACACAATTTGAATGCCTTTCCGTGTGAATCTCAACTAGGTTAAAAATTAGTTACACAAAGAAAAGGGTCTGAGAATATTTCATTAGAAAAGTTGATAGGGCTTTCTATTAATGATAGGATTTCAGATGATTTGTCTCCTTTTATTTATTTATTTATTTTTTGGATTTTCTACCAATCTGTATTACCTTTTCCTTTTTGATTTTTTTTTTTTTTTAATTTGAGAGGCAAGGAGAGAGAGCTCTCCCATCTGCTTGTTCACTCTAATGTAGGCAGGGAACAATGAGTGAAGAGGAACTGACACTACCAGCAGCATCTGTGTTGCAGCCCCCACCTCCCAAACCCTAGCACCTTCTGTGCTGATCAAACATGGCTGCAGGCTGGGCACACTCATTCCCCATGGTACATCTGAGTCCTACTTCCCATCATGCACCAGAAGCCATGACACTTTTCTGGAGAGCACCATGCGCACTGCAGCCCCGCCCCAAATTCCAGCTTATTGGAATATTCAGTTAAGCACTGGCCCAGGCACCACCCCCTATCTTATAGCAAGATGACCCCAAACTTTTTGTAAATAACAGTTCATTCACTTTCCCGAGCTTTCTCCTACTTGTGTCTGAGTGTGTATTATTTCTTTCAATAAATCTTGCTTTCCTGTACAGCTTTCTGTCTACACTTCCTCCTTGAATTCTTTTCTGCCTTGGAGGCCAGAATTTGGAACTAGTCCAGCCAGGGGTTGAGTTCCCACACAACAACTCCAGAAATGCCCACAACAGCCTCCTGATTGGCCCAAAGCCAGGAGACCAGAATCCAGGTCTCTCATATGGGTGTCAGAGACCCAACTACTTGAACCATCATGGCTCCCTCCCAGGATGCACATGAAGAGGAAGAGAGTTACACAGAGAGAGAAGGAGAGGCAAAGAGAGAGGTCTTCCATCTGCTGGTTCACTTCTTAATTGGACACAAACACTAGAGCTGTGCCCATCTGAGGCCAGGAGCCTGGAGCTTCTTCCAGGTCTCCCACGTGGGTGCAGGCAGACCCAAGGACTTCGGCCATCTTCCTTTTTTAAAAAAAGATTTATTTTTATTTATTTGAAAGACAGCATCATAGAGAGTGGTGGAGACAGAGAGACAGAGGTCTTCCATCCAATGGTTCACTCCCCAGATGGCTTTAGCAGCCATAGCTGAGCCGATCCGAAGCCAGGATCCAGGAGCTTCTTCTGGGTCCCCCACATGGATGCAGGGACCCAAGGACCTGGGCCATCCTCTACTGCCTTCCCAGGCCATAGCAGAGAGTTGGATCGGAAGTGGAGCAGTTGGGACTTGAACTGGTGCCCTGGCGCCCAGAGGGGATGCCAGTGTTTCAGGTCAGGGCCTCAACCTGCTGCACCACAGCGCCAGCCCCTCAGAGATCATCTTGAAGGGGTTAGTGTTCCACTAACCTGTTTGGACAGTATTGATTAGATTATAAACTCTGGTTTGGCAGTGATATGGCCAAAAGTTACAATTTGGAGAGGCTGGCATTGTTGTACGGAAGATTAAACTGCCCGTCATGACACTGGCAACCCATTTTGGAGTTCCAGTTTGATGGGCCATCTTCCACTGCTTTCCCAGGCCATAGCAGAGAGCTGGATCAGAAGTGGAGCAGCCAGGACTTGAACAGGCACCCATATGGGCTGCCGACACTGCAGGCAGTGGCTTTTCCTGCTATGCCACAGTACTGGCCCCTCACCACTGTTTTTAACATTGAATATATAATATAGACTCATTGTAAAAAATCTTCAAATCACACAGACAAATCTATATGAAAAGTGAAAGTGTCACAATACCATTTCCTTTTATGCCGGTCCTTTCTCAAGATGTAAACACTGATAAAAGTGTATTGTATGTGTACACATGCAAAGATATGTGTATTTAAGGATAATTCTATTTAAACATGACACGATTTCCCTTAACACTGTGGAAAACCTTTCATTGCCGGCTCTATTATTCTTTTAAATTACCTCTTGGTATTTTACATCATGAACGTAATTGGCTAAATTTCTTACTAATTGGACTTGGAGGGTATTTTCAATCTTTTGCAATTACAAACTACACTGAATTCAAGATTATTGCATGTGCGTCCCTGTGCACATGCCTGTTTCTTTATGATCAGTTTGGAGAAGTAAAACTTATTGGTCCAGGCCGGCGCTGCGGCTCAATAGGCTAATCCTCCACCTAGCGGCGCCGGCACACCAGGTTCTAGTCCCAGTCGGGGAGCCAGATTCTTTCCCGGTTGCCCCTCTTCCAGGCACAGCTCTCTGCTGTGGCCCAGGAGTGCAGTGGAGGATGGCCCAAGTGCTTGGGCCCTGCACCCTATGGGAGACCAGGAGAAGCACCTGGCTCCTGCCTTCGGATCAGCGCAGTGCGCCGGCCGCAGCACGCCGGCTGTGGCAGCCATTGGAGGGTGAACCAATGGCAAAAGGAAGACCTTTCTCTCTGTCTCTCTCTCTCTCACTATCCACTCTGCCTGTCAAAAAATAAAATAAAAGAATAAATAAATAAATAAATAAATAAATA